TTCAAAAAGCACAAATTTTTATTCAAAATAAAAAATAATGTTCTGTTATTCTACACTTTAATTACTATATTATTATATTACTTGAAATTCACTAGTTGGTTTGGTATTTTCTATATGTCTTTAACTAACATCGGTAGTTAAACATTTCGATTCCATCTAATATTTAGAGGTAGAAGTTACATAGGGTACATTTAGGATGGTACCATTTCGTACCAGAGATCATTGGTTGTATGTAAAATCTAAAATTAGGATAGGAGTTTCTCAGGATAGGTGTTTTGTAAGGCATTTGGACATTACTTACGTGTACACTTGCTGCATAATTATTAGAAGATAAGCCGATATTCAAGGGCATGTTTTCGAATCTAAGATATTATTTATTTTCACATAAACATCTTTCTCAAATTCACCATTTGTGCACGATTTTAGCAAAGAAGTCTTTTTTTTTTCTATTACACGATATACTGACCTTTTCCGCAAGGAAATCAAGCAGTGAAATGGAATTGACTATGGTAACGAAAATTTCTTTATTTTCAACTAATTGAGTCATATTAGGCAAAGTTACACCGATAATTGTAACTGGGTAGACAGATGGCTTGGATGAGGTTAAAACAAAAATTAAATGAAAGGGCATTGCGAATATTCAAAAGTACTGAGAAATAAATGTCTCGCGTAAGTTTCCTTCCTAAATGAGTTAAAGAGAATCGCGTTATATAAATAACCATGAAAAGGGAAAAAAAACTGCAACTCAAGTGATTGAAGTATTAATAAAACTCTAGAAGGAAGTTCTAGAGAAAGGTTGTGATTAATTATTATCTGATTTGAAATATTAATTATAATTAATCAGTAGGACTCGTGTATATTTCTTTTTCTCTTTTAAATGAACATAAAATTTAGAACAGCTTTGAGGTTGCCAATTATTTCACGTAGCCATCATATGTTGTTATATCTTACATATAATATATGTTTGCTTGTAGACATATAATATATGTTTGCTTGATAGACAGATGTATGGGTCGACAGACAAAGTGTTGTATAAAAGTGCCTGCAGCTTTAAGTCTTTTAATAATAATGCTGCAGATGCACTTCCAAAATACAGAGCTCGTCAAAATGTTCCGGATCTGTTCAGTACGGTGATAGGAGGGCTTCCGAAAATCAGTCAAAATGGGACGGGAGCTGTAACAACACTGCTTTAAAGCAAAATTTCGAAAGCTTCTCTATGTCCACCTTGAATAGAAAATTGATAAGAATAATGAATAGTTTTTGTCGCATAACACTGGAAGTTGCAGTTTTTATCCCAACAGTGGAATCCATAGCTGATGGTTTCAAATCTTTCTGTCTGAAATATTGCATGTGTTCATTAGCTTGAATTTTAGATGTACATTAGTTTATTCTATAGACGAATAAAACATTTTAGAAGGAATTTTATAAATGCGCCGAGGATAAATGCTAAGCATTGCGTTGGGGTGATGAGGGTACGCTGCTCTGATTGCGCCACTCCCTGTGGTAACTGGCGTTGGTTGCGTTTTATTTACTGCATACAGAACTCTAATCCATTTAATATAAACCTATAAGAATGTTCTATTAACAATACATAACAACACTACATGAACAGAAACGATATTATTTTAATTGCCCTCATTACGTGAGAATCGCAGCAAGAGTGTCACAAGTCGACAGTTTAAGAGCATTCTGAGTTCTTGATTTGTCTAAATCAGTTTACAGACTGCATTACACACGCCCTGTTAATGTTTTGTCTTCTGATTCGTTATAGTTGAAAAGACATCAGAAGAGGAACAGTATCATTGGTCTATCAGCCTGGAAATCGAGATGCTTTGGTGACAGACACACTGCAGATCACTAAAATCCTTTGACATTGGCAGTGAAGTTATGACCCTTGTAATGTAAACTGAAGCCGTAATTCTAATAATTCGATAAATTTTGTCGTTCGTGTAATTCCGGTAATCTTTGAGCTATATTATTTATCTTGTTTAGTTTATTTTAAATTCGTATTGTGAATTCACATTTTATATTTTATATTCATATTTATTTTATTAATATTTGGTAAATTATTGGTTTATTTTCATGCTATTTTGTCACAATTAGTAAGATACATTATTTAACTTGAACTTAATTTTGGGCCTGCATTGTTATATTCTATTCTATATGCTGCTGAATACTGTGTCTATGACTTTTGATGTAACTCACCAGCTCGGCGGCTTTGCCAATAGTTTTTATGCACTTTGCTTTCGAAAATTATTAGCACTGTGATTTCGCAATCCATAATATTTATAGTATTTCGTTTCTGTATTAGCAAGCAAATTATTTTTCGTTGAAGGTATGTTCCTTCGAACCAAACACTCCGGTGATTGCAAAGCTCTATTAAGAATGAGAATGGAACCGTAACTGAACGACTTATTTCTTCTGCAATCAAGCAAAGGCTTCTGCAATGTCAAAGCCGCTTTTATTTGTATACCTAACAATCGCTATTATTTCTCATACCTAACAATCGCTGACACACTGCGAACTATGGGGTACCACACATATGAATTTCTAATTGGTCATGGGCCATTACCGGTCTACTTTAACAAATTTGTTATCATGGATACGGACACTTGCACATGTGGGGCAACTAGCTTCCCGGAGCATTATCTAACTCAATGCCCATTTACGAGTGATTACCTTATAAAAATGCCCACTACAAATATGCAAGCATTCCACAAATTTATGACACAACATAAACATTTAACTCACAAACTATGCAAAATGATGGATGTTCTGGCAAGACTAGGCACATATCTTTGTCAAGTTGCATAACGTCTATCAATAACATCCAATAAATAAGCATCCATGAACAGGTGAAACAACGAATATATAGCAATAAATAAAATACAACAAGTTTAATAACAAATCATCAGTAATGTATACCAGTTTCCAATTTTCATTAATGTTAAGATATATGTAGCAAGGAATGAACTATTCTTATAAGCATTCAGCAATACCAAGATTGCTTTAGATAAGGGTGGACATGGCGGTACACCAATTAACCAATATGGTAGAGGGGGGTACTCACATCCTCCGTCACTCACTCACCGTTTTCGAAAACACGAAGAAAAATGTGCATATTATGAATAGTAACACTTAATTCAGCAGTCCTACAGGATTTATAAAATTTAAAAGAATAATAAAGAGACAGAAATTGTGACTTACTGAAAGAGTAGTTCTTATTATGATTTTTTTTTTCTTTTTCACTCTTGTTGCTTAGTGAAAGTATAAAAGTTGAGCTCAAGACCAATATATCCGAGTTGCTATTGTATATGTTACGGCCAAAGCCCGAAGTCGGCCAGTTCCAGAATTGGCCAGCCAAATCGCGAAACAGCCAATATTGCCTCAGAATGACCGACCAAAGTTCGATCTTTTCTTGATTTCTGGGTTTGGTCAGCCAGTTCGCGAAATGGCATGCGACGATCGTCCAAAGTCAGAAGAAAAAGGTCATCAGCAAATTTTCGGTGTTTGTATACCGCAATGCTAATGATAATCACATTATAGCTGCCACAGAGGAGTTTTCCGACGAATCCGCCCCTATTAGGCCCCTAGGATTGTCCTTCGGAACAAAGACGAAGGAGGTACGGTGGCTCTAGATAGGATGTGGTCTGAAGGGAGGAGTTTTAGTGAGTAAGGATCTCACAGTACCATAAACCTCTTGGTCTCTTATGAAAATTTCCTCTCCTTTGGAGAAAACAAACAAGCAAACAAAAAGAAATTACATTACCTACTGAATTAGTTTATTACAGAAAATTATCAGTACCATCACTTGTTACAACAAGATGAACTTTTATGACATTTCGAATTGCACAGCAGTTTGTTATTTTTACATCTGCAGCGATTTGTTGAGCACTTGGTAGTGCAACTACATCGAGTGTAGCCTTGGCCGCCGATTGTGAAGCGATTGGGAAGAGGCAACGGTTCGTAATGATTTTTCCTCTGTGCCCACGGATGCCAATGTAAGTAGTTTCTCTTGCAAAATGGAAAACTCACTTCTAGAATACAGTTGTTTGAGAACACCGTGTTCTGTTCCTAGCTTGCAGAAAGCGCCCTCGATGTTCATGACCAGCTACAAGGACGCTTCGTGGATCACCGCGACCTCTGTCAACATCTGGTATGCGGATGCGTATATTATCTCCAACTTTTGCTAGGTGGAAATTTTGCATCTGAATTTTTTAGCATCTTGACACTTTGAGTTTGTATAAACTAGTATGGGCAGCTGAACCTCTTTATTCGTGATTTTCTTGTTTATTATGACACAGTCTACAGGTAATTTTTCCTCCTTCGTCTGCTTCATTACCTTATTCCACAAAAATTGCATGCACAAGCCTTTCCACAGGATCCACAAGAATGGGCTGAACTACACTCTTATTGACAACATACTACAGAATTTGTTCGCGTTTTTATAGTCAGACAACTGAATCTGGACCTTTCCGATGTATCCGTCGCCACTGCAGCTGGTTCGTTTGCGGAGAAAGTCGCTGTATTTACAGCACCATCCATTTCTTGTTCGTCGTTCTCGAGATCTTCGTCTGCAACTAAGTTATCGATAACCTCTACGGGCACATTTGAGGTGATCAGTCCCACTTTTGCTTTGCAGCCAAAAATAACCTCATAAGGTGACTGCTGAATTCCTTGGTGAAAAGAACGGTTTTTCATGAATTGAATGAATCTGAGACTCTCAGCCCAATGAGAAGATTTATTTGTCTGCATCCATGTCATCCTCATATTCTGAACATCTTGGTTGGTACGTTCTACTGAACTTTGGCTTTGGCTATGCCTCGGTTTTCCATGAACTAGTTTCAATTCAGGATTCGCAATAATAAATAAACTAACTCAATAATGAGTTCATTAATAACTTGATTTGCAAATTCTCTTCCATTATCTGATTGAAGCGTGCTTGGAGTACCTATGGTGGTGAAGAAATCCAGTAGCTTGTAAGCAACTTCTTCTGCTCTTTAGCTTTTCAGAGCTCGCAATGATATGAACTTTGTTAAATGATCCTGGTAATTGAGTATAAACTTGAATTCGCCGTCTGGGTTACATTGCATGTCGATAAGATCTACCAGGCATCTTGAGTTATATTCTTTAAATATCAAAGGTTTAGAAACTAGACCTTTCTTAGAATTAGATAATTTAGTTTGCAGCTCCTTCTCCATTTGTGTACGACCTCCACGTCCAATTTTCAATTGAGTATCATGTAGCAAGTCGAATAACTCTTCTGTGTACACATAGTGCAAAATAACGCTATTGCCTTCTGTTACTGCCACAATAAGTTTTTCTTTTCCGTCAACCTCAATAACATCATATTTTCTTAGTCGACGATAGTCAACACTTTCTTTTTTCTGCTTTGCTTTAGCCTTTTTAACGTCCTCTATGAAAGTACAATGCTTGTCTTTGCTGAAGATAGAGCTATTACCTGCTTTTTCTTGCTGCAATATATTCAATTTACTTAAGAACACGGTTCTCATATCAAAAGTTGGTTCCGTATTTGCATATGCGTCATCTTCGCCCAGCCTTCTAGTTTCGTCAGGAGAAGCCATGGGAAAACAACCTATAGAAAACAATACGACACTCTCAAATCACGCGGCGATCCCTTTCGTGGTTTAGTAGTTAATGTACATGTATAAGTTTTAGGTGAAACTAAAGATTCTATCATAAATAAGAAACACCTATTCAATGAACACTTTAAGTGCCAAAACTTTTTTCAGGTGTAAACAAAGGTTTTCACTATATATTGCTTGTAATTAGTTCATTAAACAGTGTTATAGTGCTTACATTTAAGAAAAAAAATTAATAGATTTCTAGGATGTTCCCAAATGGGAACAATGGTCCTTCCCATGAATATTTGAGGCATGTGTTTTAAAGATAGAGACACATTTTGGTAATTTTTTAAATATGATGTTCCCATTTGGGAACAATGGTCCATAAAGCGTTAAGAAGCATCTGAGAATAAGATTCTTTGTTTCCTTTAAGTTGCTTTTATATGAAGAAAATTTTCAAATCTTTTTATATTTAAATGACACTTTTTTTTCTTTTTTCTTTTGTTTTTAGAATCGAAATTTTCAAATGATTGAAGTAAAATTGGATTTATGGACGGTTGAACAGTACTTTGGTAGTGAACACCACTAATGGCACTCAGGCACCTTCTAATGGCACTAAGCACCACTCAGTGCCATTAGAAGTTTAAGAGAAGTTATTCGGAAAATTGTAGTTGCTGTGCTTGGAAAGCATGTACAAATTCTTGAAATTGAGTTTGATCCAAATATAACAAAAACAAACGAATATTGAAAGGGCTTACCTATCCGGGGAAAGCACACTAAATCGCAATCGAAACTATTAGCCGGCCAAAGTCGCATGTACGCTATTCATTTCCAGTGCATCGGACATTGGCCACACGCCCCGGCCAATTCGGGAACTGGCCGAACTTCGGGCTTTGGCCGTAATATATATATCATGTTGCTCATTATATTCTAGTTTTCCCGAGTTGGTAATTATATTTAATAAATTAGTGGTTTCTAACTTGGGGCAGCTATGGTTTGAAGCACTTATTTTTAATAACACATATAGAATTCATTTGGAGATACTAACCTTGTGACCCAACTCTAAAACGCAATATAAATTTTATTCTAATTTGGTCATTATTCAAATCAACGTTATAAATATCTAATAAAGATATTTTATTATGAAAAGTATTGAAAAGTACGTTTACGTTACTGCTCCTTTATCTCCATCTGCACTTTTTCCTATATTGTATACAAAAGCTGCTCGAAGCAGGTATAAAATTCAGTATCGGAATACACAATAAAGTATATTACGGAACATCATTTTGTGTGACAAAAATAGTTTTGCATAATTATAAATGTATATTTTAGAAGTAGATATGTACTATGTAGCCATTCCCCTTTTCACCAACATAACTATGGTAAATACGTTTGAGCAGCTTGGGAAATTTCAAGATTTTATTGCAAGTACACTGTAACGATAAATATAACTTAGCAAATCTTAAACAAACGTTAAGCTAAATTTCCTTTTCTCGAAATTGTCTCCTTTTGATATTGTTACGAAACGCCCAGGTGCGGTAAGTTAGCTTCCCCGCAAAGCGGCATTTAGGGATGCCAGAATGTGGCAAGGAAATGCAGGTTTTCGAGATTTGGCGCAAAATCGCCTATTTGGCGTCAAAATTGGTGATATGCCATAGACGGAGCATGAGCCTTCTAGAACGAATTCTTAGCTGTTTTCCCGAGCATGTTCTCGAAATCGGGTCGAAAGCTATATATATGTAATATAAAAAATATGAAAAAAGATTTTTAATTTAATTGGCTATAACCTCTTTTATGTTTTTATTTAACTTGGGGACTTCCTCTCTCTCTGTCTAAAAACAGCGACATAAGTATAAATTGCGTCATATCATTCGAATATTATATGTACATTAATGATATTCATGTTTATAACCCACAGTACTGTGTCAAAATAGTTCTTAATCAGTAGCAAGTACTGTATGCAACATCATGTGTGAATTTGTTAAACCGTATCAAACGTCAATTCGCATGACTGTTATGCATGATATTAGCAGGCTACTTCTATGTAAATATTATATGTACTTTAAAGGTACACATGATTGCATCCCACAGCATTGATAATGTCAAAATTATTCTTATTTAATGACAAGTACTGTATGCATTTTATGTGTAAATTTGCTCAACTGTATCATACTTAAATTCGCATGACTGCTATGTATGAATTTAACAGGTAACTACTATGTAAATATTCTAAGTACCTTAATGGTATTCATGATTACATCCGACAGCATTCATTATGTCAAGTACTGTATGCATTATTACATGTAAATTTGTTCAACTGTATCATATTTAAATTCGCATGACTGTTATGCATGAATTTAGCAGGTTACTTCTATGTAAATATAATATGTACAGTAATGATATTTACAGTTGCCATCCACAGCACTGATATGTCCATAGTATTCTTATTTAATGACAAGCACTGTATGCATATATGTGTAAATTTGTTCAGCCGTACCACACTTAATTTAAGTTTGTGTTACTGGGATACATACCATGTCTGTTATGTATGAATTTAGCAGGTAATCACGACAGCAACTTAGGTATCATATATGTCCTTATGTGTATATCAAACTCAAGTATTTTAATGTAAGTTTTGATATGTATTACTACGCTAGCACAGTGATGTATGGGCATGTATTGTTTAATTAGAATCAATAAGTACTGGGCCTGGGCAGCTGGCTAGGAGTGCACCCTTGCTGGCGGATTGGTCAGCAGCACTGCAAACGGGACGATCTGGGCGCTCTGTGCGAGACCCCACGTGGCTGTAAATGGTCAACTCTAGATAAGGGCGGACGTAGTGCTATTACCGGTTAACCTTAACGGTGGAGGGATGGTGCCCACGTCATCCGTTAAAAAAAATAATCCTGCGATCTTATATAACGCTTAATGCAAATGACTTTTGACCAATCACCAAATTGTAAACCAAAACTTAAAACTGAAACTTTTGACTCCCCACTTTTCCTCTGAGCTGATGCGTAACGCTTAGTTGCGCTTTCCTCCTGGCCAGACGCTTTGCTTCAATCATCTACGCTCGTATGATCGCTTCTATAGTAATAATATCCAAAAATGTTCTGGAAATAGGCTTGATTGGAGTGCCAAGTGAACTGTGAACACCAGTGTGAATTTAAATAACAATGAAATTTTATCGAATGCTTTTTCTTCAAAAAGGATGGGCGCTCTAAGCATCAAGTATCTAGGCAATCAGCATTTCTACGTTCTTTGTCTCAACCGTTCTTACATTCAGTGCTTTCAAAATTGTGCTAACATTACACACACATACACACACACACATATATATCTATATATATATCCTGCCTGTACGCAGAGTAGAGTGTATGAGTAGTAATGGAGAGTATGTTGAATTCAACGGTATTGTCTTTAGTTCAGAGATCAATTCGATAGCGATCGACCGAATTGAGAGCCGTTTGCCGTGAAGTTGTCTTCACTGTTAATAGCTTGATAGCTCGAAGGCTGTGTTGTTGATTGTTTGTCGTAGTTTTTTTCAACGACTGTAAACGTGTCTTTGGAACTCTCCTGTGTAAATACTGGCGAATAAATTATGTTTTGACTGTTTATCAAGTGTTGTCAGTCATTCCAAATCCAAAAACTTGTAGAACGCAACAATATGAACCTTATGAACGTATAACAGTGTTTTAGATATTAGGAAAACACAGCAATTTATACTTTACAAAGGATTTCTCAGCTATACCAAATATCCAAAGTATGAAAATTATCGGATGCGACAAAGTTTATGGATATCATCGACTGAATATCTTTGTATTTGGATTCTTTATAATTATTTCAACAATTTCTGTAATTAATAACCCTTAAATTTTCAGTCTGTGGGCTACGGAAAATACGTTTATGTTATTGTTCCTTTACCTTTACATTCCTTGTTATCTGTGTTATATAGAAAGACTGTTCGAAGCTGGCACAAAACTCATTTCTTAGAAAACCAGGTCACAAAATAAGCAGATCTTAACACGTGTATTTTAGAGATTTAGGTTGTTTATTTCGAAGGGAAAATCGGAAATATGACAATTTTGTTAATTTACCATATAAAACTAATAATGTGTAGTCAGACTGAAAAAGATAGGAACCAAATGTACAACTGCATGCAATAATAATTGTACTTAATCCTTAATATAGCCTTTATTAAAAATTAGAGCCATTATTCACTTCTTTCAGTAGATATGATATTGTTCATAAATTTTCCCGTGTTTCAACTTTCAAGTTTTACACTTTTTTATGACATAATCAGTTTTTCTTATCGAAAGGACTAAAACAAATTTTCATTCCCTTCAGTTTCGTTATAACGCGGTTTGACTGTATTATTACATATTAATGTAATTTACACTGGAAAATTCTTCTATGAAAATTATAATACACAATAAAATTCGACTTTTATTTGTTGTTAATTTAAATGAGATTCCTTAGCAAATTTCTAGGCAAAAGTGACATTTATAACTAATTTAGCAGACACTTCCAGCGGCGTAAAAACATTTCATTTCTCCTTTTCAAATTGTACTGCGTATTTTCGTTTAAAATATATGCCAAAGGAATATTTAGTGCTATCTGTTACGAAACTTTCCTTGTATTTATTACTTATTTATTAATTGTACCTTAATAGTTGTTTACTGTTTAAAATTTCTTTGCATATTGCATGCAATGGAATTAACCTGGTGTAATATGAATAACACATGTGAATTAAAAGTTTCTGTTCTCGTATCAGTTGTTATCCGCCATTAATTAAATCATTTATATGACTATTTGTACAGAATCAACTTTGATGATAACATATACCCCATAATAATTTACTTCTCCTGCATTAAATAATTCGCCTCAGAGTACTTTCTAATTAAATATACCTCATTCCTACCAGCATAATGAATTTTAAAAATGAACAGTCCCTACATGGGGAAACGTGAATGCATTCGATTCCTCTTATCTGAGCTCAA